GGCCCCGTGACTGCCCTGCGCCCCCGCCGCTCCCGCTCGCGCCGCCGCTGCCCCTCAGTCCCGCGGCCCGGCAGAGAAAAGTCCCCGATCTTGGGGGGCGGAGCAGCGGGCGGGGACCCAGGTGGCCCGCCCTCTCCCACCCTCCCCACCCCACCCGAAAGATAATACGGCGCACTTAAGTGTAATGCACCCTCTCTCATGGCTTCTGGGAATCCCCCAGAAAGTTCTGAGCAGGCGGATGCCCCAGGAGCCCCTCGACCCCGTCCAGTCCCAGGTCTGGGTTGCTCTCAGTCAGTCACAGCGACCAGTGGTGACCGCGGGGGCGGCAACGTGATGACTTCTGGGGAATCAGGGAGGCTGCAGGATGGGGGACGGAGACTGCAGCTGGGGGTGACTCACCCCACCCGGTGGGGTGCCCAGACGGGCCCTCAGGCCCCAGGTCCCGACGGCCACTCCTGTGATTCAGCCAGGCCTCCGTCTGGTGGCCTCCTGGCCCCACCCGTACCCCTCACGCAGCCCTCAGCAAGCGAAGGATCAGGGCCCTCCCTCTGGAGGGGAGCAGTGGGAGAGCGGACCTGCCCAGCTCTGCGCCCCTATCCCAGGGCGCCCACCCCTACTGTCTCTTGTGTCTCCGCGGTCCTGGCAGATGCCATCCAGCTGCGCCTGCAGGGCGGGGGACTGTCCCTGTGTGGAAGGTGGGACCACCCACAGGGCCAGCTCACCTCCCAGGAATGCACCCCCTGCGGCTCACAGCCCCTCGGTCCCTCCCTTCTCCTTCTCCATACACATCCTCACTATGGCCTGCAGACTTCCCACCCATGTCCCCACCAGCCCCGAGGTCCCAGGCCTCCCTTCTTCCCTCACTGCCCCCTGGAACCAGTAGCAACCCTCTCCCGGTAACCAGACTGACTGCCCACCCCAGTGGCTTCTGTATCTTCAGGCAGCCTCACTGTCCCCAGGCCAGGGCCACCATCCAGAGGCCAGTCTACATGTGCCTCTCCGTTGGGAGGGTGGCATCAAGGCAGACACCCCAAGAGAAACAGGCCCCATCTAGACCTCGCCCCTCATCATCCCAGCCCGTCCCGGACAATTCTGGCTAGCACAGAAAGCCCACCTACACTCGCCACTGCCCCTGGGCCCTACCAGCAGCCTCCCCTGGGGAGTCACGGCTGGGTGGGAGATGGGACAGCACTTCTGTGACGTCTGTGGGCCCCGCTCTCCTCCAGGCCGAGGGGTGTCTGGGATGGCCAGAGCAGGGGCAATAAGGCCCACCCATGCTGTTTCCCTGCTGCCCAAGGAGGTTGGCACTGCCCCTTACCACTGACCCCCACAACCACCCTGGGACACAGTGCTGTGATCCCTGGGGGTCCAGAATTTTTTTCCACTTTTGGGGACTTTTCAGTCATGTTCCGGGACCCCCATGGGAGGTGTGCTCCACGTGAGGGCAGCAGGGGACCTGACGTGCTCTCGCCAGAGGAAGCCCTGCCCTAAGACGGCCACCTCCTACACAGCAAGTGCAGCACGCACGCCAGGGAGGTGCACATGCGTGTGCGTGTCAGACAACCCACCAGCACTGAGGTGTCTCCAAAGAAAGGAAGGGGAGAGAGGAAAGGCCGTGGGGGAGGCGGGAGCGAGGTTGGAGCGCGTCCCATCGGGCTCCCGCGAAGACCATGAGCAGAGACGTGGCTCTGGGGGCCCTTGATTCCAGCCTCCTGGCGGGCACAGCCTACCTGAAGTGCAGCTGAGGCCGCGCCTGCCTCAGCCCGTCAGGGAGGTCGGTCCCCATAGCTTGTCCCCAGGACATTCCCTCCCAGACCTGTCACCTCTCCCCACGGCATGTCTCCAACCAGGGCCACTCTCCAAGGCTCCAGCCCCACGGTCCACTGTCCTGGACATGTCCAAGGCCCCGCCAGAAGCATGGGCAGGCAGGCCCTCCTCCTCACACCCACTCTGTCCTGCCTGTGCCCCTGCAGCCTCTCCTGTGGACATGATCCCTGCTGTGCCATGGCCCAGCTCGCCAGGACCAGCATGAAGTCCAGCCCACATCTCAGCTCGGACCAAGTCTTCACACAGCCCTCCAGGGTGATGCTCCGAGTTCCTGGTTTGGTCTGCAAGGCTGGACCAGTTCTGCGCCTGGCACCCCTGGAGCCTTCTGTCAGGCATGTGTTTGGGCTCAGTTTAGGGCAGCACTGGGACCCTGCTCCCCGCCTGGGCGCTGCACCAGCTCTGGGCTGCGCCTGCCAGGGATCTGCGCTGTCCGCTGTCCACTGTCCGGCAGCTCCTCAGCTGGGAACAAGGCAGGCGTGGCCAGCCCCAGGCTGTAGAGGGCACGTGACGGCCACCTCCTGACATCTCAGGGCACTGCAGAGGCACTGGGGCAGGCTGAGTGATGTGAGGGCTGATCTGGTTGCTGCTAGTGTGAGATGTGGGCGCACTTTGTAGAGTCCTCAGCCATCCCTCCCTGCTGCAGGCCTCCTGCCACCACTGCCAGCCAGCCCCTGCTCCACGGAGGATCCGGTCCCTCACCTCTATCTCCCCCATGGGCCCTTAGGGAACCTGTGGATGGGGGGAGCAGGAAAAGGGCCTACCCGCCCATCTGCCTCGGGAACAGAGGGACCAAACAGCTGAGCGCTCTGGCCAGTTCAGCCAGCTCAGGGAGATGGAGAGGGGACCGTCAGGCCTGCAGCTCAGGGCTTGCCTGGGACACATCCAGCCGAGGGAGGGGGCTCAGCCCCACTGAGCTCAGGGATATTCTTGGAGCCTGAGTCAGCGGCAAATCGAGGTAAAAAGATTCTTGCCCTGCCTGTCCAGACAGCAGTTAGAAACAGTGAGAACACTGCCCCAGGCGCTCCTCCTGAAATCAGAGTCAACACGCCCGAGAGGCCTCCTCAGGACCGCCCTGGCCCCTCCTGTCCATCCCAGCAGCCAGGCACCTCCAGGTCTGCGGTGAGGGGTTGCCAGTGGGCACCAGGCTCCAGGCTGGGACCCCTACAGGGAAGGCTGGTGTGCAGTTCTCATGGGCTCCCACGCCCCTGGCCGGGATGGGCTGGCTGAGGAGCATCCCACACGCCTGAGTGGAAACAGCTGGGCCAGGATCCCCGCAGGCATCAAAGGCTTCCGGCCTCTGCTGCGGCCCCCACGCTGGCCCCCGGCTGAGGACATATCAGCCTGTGGGGAGGCGGAAGGACCTGGGGGAGAACTGGGTCACTGCTCCCCCATCTGCTGCCCACACTGAGACAACACGATTCTCAACCGAGGACTTTATTGGAGGTCACCTGCAGCACAGGCTGGGAGCTGGGAGCGGAGTGGCCCGTCTGCGATGGGAGCGCGGAGCCTCCTGCCCGCACAGGCCGCCTGCCTAGAAGCGCAGCCAGAACATGCCACTGCGGATCCGGTTGTAGTCTGGAAGCTGCTCGAGGGGGCCTGCGGGCGGGGCGGGGCGTCAGGGCGGGGAGCCTGGCCCGCACAGGGACACCTGGCCCTGTGCCGCACCCAGCTCGGAGCTGCTGCCCAGAGCACACAACACAGGCTTTGAGCAGAGAGGGAAGAAACGCTCCCCCGGGGCCTGTGCCTGTCCCTTCACGCTCGGGCCCTCGGCGCCCCGCCCCACTCGCCGAGGTGCCCGTTACCGCCGGGCGTGGGGTATGGATGGAGGCACCTTGGGAGCACGGCAGGGGGGTGACGAGACA